TAAATTTATAAATATGTAAATATATAAAATAAATTAGTATTCACGTTTGTGGCGAATTGCTTCGCATATAAATTTTTGTTTATAACCGAGAACGAGTCAATTACAGCACGAAACGGTAGTAACATGCAGTAAATAACGAGGAATAACTAATGCATAGACTTAACTTGCCGCTAAAAGAACATTGTTCAACTATACACCTGTATAATAAATAACAATGTGTAACATCAACACAGAAATAGAATCTTGTATACAGAAATTACAGTTAAAACTACAGAATCATATTTTACAGGACTACAGTGCATAATAAGTTTATTACTACTTAATCATGGAAGTTGCAGATCATATTCGGAAGCAAATTAAGAAAAAGCAAAGTAACGCTACAATAGAAAATGGTTCCATTCTTGCAATATTATTTTGCTTTATCTGATGCGAATAGCAAGGACGGACGGACATTTATTTGGATGTCAGAACTTAACGCATATAAAAGTCCATATATTTACATTTGTATCGTTTTCGCACAAGACAGCTCTAACGGAAGATCCAACTGTTGCAACAAGAATGTTTCATCACCGGTTTGAAGGTTAAGTTCTGCAAGTCGAAATGGATGCGAAACAAGCATCACTGCCCGCAGGGCTCTGGTTACGCGAACGGCGAAGAATTCAGAGAAGTCACCAACTATGTATATCTTGGCCATCAGGTGGACCGCAAGAACTTGCAAGACAAGGAAACTAGCCGAAAAAGGAAGAGGGCGAAGAGGGTATTGACCAGCTTTAATCGCTTTAAAATTACATTACTTGATAGTGAGCTGTCTATGTAGGCTAAAAATGAACTGTTCGATTCAACCACACTACCCACTATGATTTAAGGCGCCAAATGTTACGCTACTAAAGCAGAGAGAGAAAAACAGACGGTTACGCAAAGAGCGATGGAACAAAATGTGTAAACCACCCCCTGCCCGAGATAAGAATGCAGAAATGAGACAAAGGACTGAATTAACAGACGTCGTTTCTGTCTTCTATGATGCCAAGGAAGACGAACTGGTCATGTGCCTAGCCTGAAAAACAACTGATAAACTTAAAGAATCTTAAACTGGGTTCCGCTAGACCACAAACTTGGAGTAATGAGAAAATGCTTCGAGTAATGATCAAATCAAAAGTAATATAATACAGGATAAATAGTAGAAATTTAAATATAATAATTTTCATTTTCGCCGTTACACCCTTCCTTCGATATCAGGTTAAAAGTGGCATCTCAGACATTTAAAAACCGTGAGTAAATACGATCCATTCCATCCAAAGATGCAATTCCAAATGAAATCTCATGAAAAGTTTCCGTTTCATTTGTGGTTCCGAAGCTGTCAGCATTTGTCCCTGCCTTTCATGAATAAATTGTTCTTTTGATAACTCTGAAGCGATCAATTCTTCAACATAATGTTCATCAATTTTCCAATTCTACTTGTCTCTACCACTTCGGATATTTCGTCGCTGACAGCTTCTGTACACCCTTATGAAAAGCAGAACGGTTCTTAAATCAAGCAAACAAGCCCTGATTATCACAAATGTTCAGAAATATGTGAATATCTTGAATTTACATACATACATACAACCTTTTGCATTCATATGATTGGCCATTGAACTTAACTCGCTTTTAGATCTGGTCTTCAATCCATGTAGTTAATTTTTTCATCTTAAAAATAACACCAGTACGCTCTTTTGTTATCATAGTTGACTTAAACAGGCAGATCCCTTCGTAATTCAATTCACTGATGGTGGTACGAGACAAAAATTGTCATCTACTATAGCCGATAATCTTCTTCCGTCTTTATATTTCTTTATAACGCCCATTTTCATCTCCAGATCAATTTTTCCACTTTATCCACTTGTGTTCCTTTTTCAAGCCACGACACAACAAGGCATGCACATACATAAAATTACTGAAGTGCATGAACAAATAATACAGAACACATCGATGTTCAGCAGTCAACAAAACGAGAGCGAGAATACACATACACACATATACCGCGTGGGTTGACAACTCTACGAATGATCGCGATCAAAATAACGTATGAGTAAGGTAAGGTAAAATTTTATAATTTCAGATGTTTCATATCCCTTTCAGGATATATACATATATATTAATCGCAAAAATAAGCCTGCAATTTGAATGTGCAAAATAGGTACAAATACAAAATAATATACAAATAGCATAGGATACACATACCTGATCATATTAATACACTCAACTATGAAAATACAAACATAAAAGCACCAACCTTGGTGTACGTCTTCGGCTCTGTCGTGCCGGTTTCCTGAAGCTCTTGCTTCTGGTAAACAGTCGGAGAATTGATCCATCGTAGTCGTTCTTGATCGCGCTTCATCTGGGATGCTTTCATCGCACTGAAGCAATAACACACGTATATTCAAAACCGATGTTAACACCTGGAAGCAAACTTCATTTTTTATTATCATTATCATAGCATTTGGGCCTGGGATCTAAGCAGAGCCATTTGCCTTCCTCTTTGCATCAGCATCGACTGTACGCTACGGAAGTGAATGCCGTAGGAAAGAGTGCGATCGCGGAAAGGTGTCGTAGCAATGAGACTCATTCGAAGAATTACTGGCTTGATAATGATCGAAAAGATTATGAGCACGTCGGTCTAACTGAGACATCTTCGATGATGAGCCGTTTCATCTCCAAATTATCATAACCAAACAGCACTGGATTGTACACCTAGCCTGGATGTAAAACGAGAATCACAAGTGGTTAAGCGGGACAAGCGGGTCAAACGGACGATCCAGAGCAAATTAACGGACAAAGTCAAAATTATCACGCACTAGAATACAGTCAATGGATCATGCCCAAACGGAAAAAACTAGAGCAATAATTAATGCATCTAAAATCTGTTAGTTGGACATCCGAATGGAACGCGTGTTTACGAAAATGAATGAATCTGACCGTACGAGTGCGTTAAATATTATATTTCTTTCGGTTAATATTCAGCAGCACAGGCAAACGGGGAAGATCTAAATAAATTGACTACATTCCAAAGTTTTCCCAGGAACTATTCGATTTTCTTTCTCAAACTAGACAGCGTACTCATTCGGTCTAAGATAACTGAAGACCACTATGCATTGGTCCATTACTTTACATCAGTAACTAGGCGGATCTGCTTATCAATGATTAGCTAATATAAAACACTTAAGGTAACAGAATATGCAACTAATTTCGTCATTGCGCCGTGTTCTCTTCTACGATTAACGTACGAAAGAACAGCTTGATCTTACCTTGAAGACATGTCGGTTTCGTCCAACATGCCATACGAGGAAGCAGCGGGCGGTTCTTCGACTTCGGACTGTGGCGGAGGCACTTTACACCTCAGAGACGGCTGGCGATAGGCGTGCCCGGTGCGGAAGCCCTGAAAAATAAAATTTCAGTAGAGACCGCAAAAAACTTAGAATTTAACATTTGGTAAAATCTGTTCTGGTAAGTAACCATGAAGTCGATACTGAAATTCTTCATTTACGTCATTCTAGCTGATGCGAGTGAACATCTAGCTGAGATCTAGCTGTAAACACTAAATGCTACACGGAGGAGAGTTTTAGTCATCATGAACAGGCAAGGATCTCATAGTGAGAGAAAGTGCCTTATGAGTAAAAGGATGCTACCTCTGCTCAGAACGCAATTCGCATAAAAATCGGCTCAAATCTAGTCTGATCTCTCTTCATGCGATGAAATTCCACCATCCTGTGGCAATAAGCATAAACCACTGTGTTTAAAAGCCTGTACTAAAAACCATGCTCCTGGAACAAAAGGTCCTAACTTGAGAAACTAACCTTGTAAGAGAAGCGCCGATTGCAAGAACAAAGGACAATCAGCAATGCGTAACTTTCTTCCTTAATCAACCCTTGAAAGACGGAATACTTCAAAGTGAAGATATAACGAAAGTTCATTTTTTTCTAAACATGACGGTTTGCAACCCTTGAATAAAAACACGCTTAACTGTCTCCTCGCTAGTTTTCATACTGGTACTCTAATTCGTGTCTCCTGATTTCGAAGACCATGCAACGCTTAATTCGATTCTCGTGAATCGTATTGTTTTAAAATGCGATCTCTTGCTTTCCATAGGTGCATTACGTAATAATTGCCTTCATTTCATACGCTGTACGTATAGGGGAGCTGAAAGAGAAACAAGGATCTTCCGTCACAGCATTAACAAATGTTGAATAGTCCGATACTCAAACATTTTTGTTGTTGCCTTACAACCGCAGTCAATCACACCATCAAGTATAAACAAAATAGTTAAACACGAAAAACGAGAATATCGTATGAACAGTTCATCTACGGCTTCTGGTACAACAACACTTTAAATAAACAATTCACACCTTTCGCGTAGTTGTGTTGCTTATGTGCCAAGATAAGAACCATGAGACCTTGCAAGCAATCGTTGTCAGCCAAGTGATTACAATTCATGAAAGTTATGCTGTAACTCTATCGGTGAATATACAATTCGATTAACATGTTTCAAAATTCTTAACATGGGTAGAAGTTTCGAATCGTCAGCATAATTTGCAAAGTTATAAGGCACTGTGAAACGAAACGTACCGCATTGTCAAGAACTCGCATCCACGCCTCCCATTCCAGCTCTCCGGTTCTCCAGTTGATCCTGCCCTGTTGTCTTCCGCCAGCAGCAGCCATCTTTCGGTCCTCAGCCGTAGGTCCGCTATGGGCACTTTCGAAAGCCTTCCGCCGCGCTTCCTCGCTGGGTACGATCAGGTTTTCGATGCCTGCCCTCGCGGCACGAACCTAGAAACGGAACAACGTGTCAGGCAACTTCATCAACGGGCAACCGACGACGTCATTTTCATGCATTCGCCAAGCACACCACGTCAACAAGCCACCATGCACACGACGAGAAGGGAGCCAGGAGACGACGACGCCATTACAGCGAAAACAACGATGACGCATCGACGATGGGGGTAGAAGGGTCGTTTCACGCCGACCCATCGTCTTCGACGAACACACATAAAGTACCTGATATTCGCAAGCTTGCATGAGGTTGAAGGCTAAGATGAACGCCTCCTCGACCGATTCCCCACCGACCACGAAACCTATGCCTTGTAGAAGCATCACCTGCAAAAGAGCATACGGTTCATTCACGATTCAGACCAGACCGCATGCCGCACCGAAAATGCTTAAGAACGCTGAATATTTTTGAAAGTCAGGTTCCTGCTTCAATGAACAGAGTTCTAAACCTTTTTTCATTCATAAAGCTTTACTGAAGATGTCCGGGAATACACTACATCGATTAAGTGATAAGTTTTGATACAGATGACAATGACAGGGCAGCCATTCACATAATGACCAGTTTAACGTTTGTATTTCACCATTCGACTACTAGTAACACAACACTCGTTACTGTGTTCATTCATTCTTCGATCATACCACACGCATTTACTATAATACCTGAATTTCGCACGACACGATCACCAGATAGGCCAGGTGAAACGCCTCCGCAACCGTCTCTCCACATGCAAGGAATCCGTTATTGCGCATTATCAACACCTAACAAATTTGGATAATATATCAAAACCACAAAAGCAACAAATCAGTATAAAATACAGAGCAACACGAGACAACACAGCACATAAGAAACGAAATGCACTAAACATCCATATGCTTCGAACTAAATCAGAAGCCCCAGAAAAATGGGCGCCAGATGCAGAAGTAACAAAAAGTACCGAAATGGTTTAAAATAACAAATTAACTCAGATCGTTCGTGAAGATACTTTTCAACTATTTTTTAACATTCCGGGGATGTAGGGAAACGCTAAATATTTCAGAATAAGAAACATGTCAATTAAAACACTATCAAGGACAGTTAGTCATATCGATATAAGCACGCAAACCAAAAAAGAAACACTCAGCTCGTAATATCTGCAACACTGAAACATTGTTAAGCTTGTTTCGACAGTTTCCAACAACGCTCTGTGGAATTCATCATCAAAGAACTCAGCAATAAACCCAAACGAATAAACAAACGCTGACCATCGTTCAACAAAATCTGACAGATAAACGCAAAGACCAACATTGCTTGGCTTGACATACAGCGCAAAAACAGGATGTAAACATCCTGAGAGCGCTGGACAGCGATAGAAAGCTTGGAAATACGCTGCTGATGGACACCTGCCACGACAAGGAATATGACTCATACCGCAGAAAGTAACCAAGTGAAGGTAACATATATTAAACCATATATGGTACTGAATAGTCACGGAAACTATGAATGCTGAAAACAGCAACAACAATACTGCACACATATACGACTGATATTATGTTTATGAAGGAAGGAAATGCAAATTTGTAACAGCTGAAATGCTGGTATTCTTTAAGATTTGATTAGAGAGCCATTCAGATGCCCATCTCTCCAGAAAGTTAATGGTGGGACGCTGATCTTCAGCTCTACGCCATCAGGCAGGAGTAGCCTATTTTAAAGGCAGTCAACAGCAAGTAGACGACGAGCCTAGCGTGCAGTATCCAGTTTGCGTACAAGTCCAGTTTCAGAGCGGCACCAATTTATCAACCTCGGTGAAGAAAGGCCAGTGACCTCGACTGGCCCCTGACCCAGGACCTCTCGATTCTGAGTACGATTTTCTATTGACTGCGCAATCTGCGTTTATGGAGCGTCCATCGCAAATATTAAGATTACATGGTATCATACCGTTATGACAAGATAAATGGCAAAAGGGGATACTACAGCACTCGCACACTGTACTTATTTATGACGTATGCACAATGCAGGATAGCCCTTGCTATACACCAATCATATAAGATTCATAGCAGATATCCGTAATATACCACATATCCCTGCTATATGCAAATACCATATACATCTATATACAAAAATTGTGTTCCACGTGTACAATGCTTAAGACCTGTACCATTATATACGTACGAAACTTATATAACATACACATACAAAGAAGAGCAAGTCCTGTATTCATCATGTTTGCGCTGTACAGTATAAATATCGAAGATTATACATAAATATAAAACGCTATGTGATGCTTGGATATAAGCTTGCATTTATATATGTAACATTGAGAGTCATTATATTCCTTGAATACAATACCACCTAGAGCATACTTCATGGATCGTATACTATGTCAATATCGCACGTACATGTAACATGCATACACTAAATGCCAAATCACAACGTTGTGCATTGAAAGAATATATT